GTGTGTGTGTGTGTGTGTGTGTGTGTGTGTGTGTGTGTGTGTGTGTGTGTGTGTGTGTGCGTGCTATTCCCCCTATGAATAGCAGGGGAGTTGAGCAGCACAAAGGGAGTAATTGTTTTTGTCTGAACACAGCCAACAGTCCACCGAGGAGGCTGCTGTGTGCTGTGGCTGCTGCTCTTAAATAGGCAAAGCCGGAGGAAAAAAAGACGACTAATCCATCATCTTCACCAGGTTTCAATGTGACAACAAAGCACTGACACACCGGCTCACTGCCATGAAGGGATTCATTTTGTTTCAAGGATGACAGATGCACCTCCGTACGCAAGCGGCAGTTTTCAAACAAGACAGAGAAAGTTGTTCAGACTTTTTTTGGGCTTTTGGAGATAATTGGTCGAGACCTTGAAGATTGTAAGTGAGAGGCTGCAGATAGGGTCAGTCAGTGTAAACAAGATTAGCCAGAGAGGCAAAATGTTACACAGAGAGCACAAAGACTGGCCTTGTGTGGCTCTCAACTGGAATTAATTTGGATGGAAATAAAGGATTCTATTGATTAAGCAGTCTCTTATTCCACCAATCAATGCACAACTTGATTAAACATTCAGATAATTGCTGTTCTTTAGCTCAAATGAGGCATATCAGCCATTTAAGGAATATCATATGGTACCTTGAAATATAATCAGAACATGGGTAAACCCTAAAGTCCTTCTAGTTAGCATTTATAAGCAGTACACAGCACATGTAATAAACGGTTTATAACATACTATAATGTAAGTTGTATTTTCTTCATCTAATAATCGGTATAATATCTTCTTTATTAATTGTTTTGTCTATTATGTGAAAATTATTGAAAATACCAGTCATAATTTCCCACAGCACAAGGTGACGTATTCAATCAGTTTGTTCTGCAGCTAAGACCGACAGTCTGAAATATAAAGATGTCCAGCTTACTGTCATTTATGACAAAGAAAAGATTCAAATCATTACATTTGAGAAGCCATTTTAGCTTGAAAAATGACAAACAAATAGAATAGTTGCTGATAAATTTTCTGGCAATCGATTCATCGATTCATCGCCTAATAGCAGCTCTAATAATGACGTTATAGGCAGATATAAACAAAAACAGAAAAAAGTGTTATTATAGCTATTACAACTTCTCATATGAAGACATATTTTATACAGTTTTTTCTATATTGTCATTCAATATCTTGTGGGCCTCCACCTATGGGTGCTCACAGGAGGAGTTCAAGTTGTTGACAAATACATTAATAAACACTTATACTGTATACGAGACTATCTATATTACAGTGCGTTATAAACCATTCATCACATGTTAACATAGTGTTTATGAAATAAAGTGCAGGACTATTTTTCTCACTGTTACGCACCACAAGTCTTAATAGGATGGGTTTGGTTTTTCTTAAGTCCTCACAATAGAAATATCTAAATTTAGAAAAAAAAATATTGGAGTGACTCAGAGACTGCAATCTAGCTCAATGATATCACTGCTGCGAGAGATTGACAGGCTGTATTGCACATTATCTCAGAGGCCTAACAATATAAAAAGACTGCTCACCGTTACACCACTGAAATGGGTGCATCAATGCACCAGAGGGAGTCCTTGCCAGCGGGATCCGATTCGTGTTTACCAACAAGCCGCAACCGCCCGTGCAGATGGATGACCGCAATAAAGTGGCCCGAGTAGAGCCAGTGACTGTCTGCCAGAACGAGACAATGGCACCTGTAATAAAAATAAAAAAGACCAATAAAAAGCTGGATAAAAAGCGGGTTTTTTTCTGTCGACAGTTGAAGCGGGGTTATCCTTTGTCACATAGTTTGGTTCATCCGTGCAGACTGAAAAAAGGAGAAATGAAGATGTGGATTTCCCCCGTTGTTCTTCTTCTCATCGCTGGGGCTGTTTCGACTCTGTTATTATTAATAGACGGCATAACACTGACCCAGCGGCAGCATCTGTGTGACAAACTACAGCACTGGCTGGATTTGCCTACTCCCGCCCCCGCAGACGCATACGGACGTGCGGGGAGACCAATCGTCGGGCTGCCTGGGTCGGCGTGCGTTGTGACGGCCTGGCTGGACGGGCTGCGTGGTTTCTGCCATATCTCCTTTTTCCTTATGCATATGTGCTTACAGGCTAATTCATTGCCACGACTTTAAAAAAATACTGAGGTTAGGAGTCCAAGTGGTCTCTCCTACACGGTGGGACTACCCCTCTGGGTGGGCCTTGGGGCAAAATGTATGGTAGGCCTACTTGTGGGCCCCTATGAACCCCCATTTTCTCCCACACTTTATATGATAGCCATGTTTCATAATTGTGCCAATAGTTCCAGGACCAAACAAACAACAAGATGAAATAATACTTTGTAATATATACGTTGTAATAATCAGTAAATGGTAAATGGACTTGCGCCTCTCAAGTCTTCACAGCACTACATGCTGTCATGACAGGGGCTGCCCTACAAGGTGCCACCTGCCCATCAGGACTAAACATTCACTGCCATTCACACTCGAACCGCCGATCCGGCAAAAAACAAAATGTTTTATGTATTTTTGTTGTGTGACTGTTATGTTCTCGGTAAACTAGTTCATTAAGCTGGACAGATAATAAGTTCAAAGCTAACGTGTGTAACTCTAAGTGAATGCTGTTAAAATGTATATAGTTATTGAGATTTGTGTAATACGTGAGGATATTACATATTAGTGTCCTGAGAAATGATGAGTGTACCGTTGGATAACTGAGTGATTACACATCACTGGACTGCACATTTTGTGCAGCAAAGGCTGGTCTTCATCATCACCATCTTCTCACTGCTCACTGGATCTTTGCCACCATCATCCTCTTCAGTCTTCATCTCCACTACTCAGCAAATACAACCTTCTTCATCTTTGTTATCCTCCTGGGAGCCAGGATGGACACTTTTCTTATTCCTATGGCTAATTTATTGAGCGGTACGGACATTTCTGATTGGGATTGAAGTGCACTGGGATTCAACCTAATTGAACCAGCTTTAATTTGGTCACGATATTGAAGAATTCATTTAGTCACATTAGGCTTTCTGTGGAAACTGGCCATAAATTAGTCAATACTAGGAATTTTGCATCATTTGAAATGGTAATTGGTCTTGGTTGTGGGTGCAGTTGTGTGTCATGCCCAAGAGGGGAACAACTGAAATTATTCCAGTAATAAAATGGAAAGTAAAGCGTGGTAAATGAAAGCGCATATAAAAGATTATAGCTCTAAGTGACAGGAAAAAGAAACAATGAGACACCAGAGATAAACTTAAACATATCCATATGTTTATGTGAGTAAATAAGGAAACAGTCAAGAATGCGTCACCCCTGCAGCACTCATATGCAAGTAATTCATTTGGGTTTTTTTGTCATTTTATTAAGCTCTAATTTATTTAGGCGTATGCAAGTCCAGTAAAAACAGTCATAAGTCAACTTTCTATCTTTTTCTAGAGGTTTTCACTTCTTTTATTACAAATTGACCCTAAAGATCCAGCCAGATGTTCTACTACATAGAGCTTCATCTCCAAAATGACAATAAAAAAGCTTGTATATGCAAATAAGCACAATAACAGCATGTACAATTATTTCTTTAGCAGACTAGCTTTGTCTAAAACCCCCCCGAGACTGTATATAAAGTGCTGTGTTGTACATGCAGAGTGACACACAGACTAGAGCTGCTCGAGGATTTCAGAAGAAATAGATCTGTTCATATCCTGTGAAGTTTCCAGCGTAGACGGGCGTGTCATTGTAAATCAGTGACGAGGCCTCTTCCTCAGGATTGTTAAACTGATGTAGACTTCTCCTTCCTAAACAAAGTGAGATGAATGTGATTAGAATAGAATAGACAAATCATTGTTGGGAACAATAGGATTTAGAAGTGTTCAATGTAATATTTGTGATATCTTTTTTTTTTATGAAGCTAAAATGTTATTCATAATCTTAATCTTCTCTCTTCGTCTATCCCAGCTGAACTAAGATCACTGTGGGTCTCGGGGTGTTGCATTTCAAAGGGCCTCAATCATTGAATATATAATTTTGTAATGGGATATCAATATATATTGTGATATTATAAATATTCTGGAAATTCCATTGAGTTTATGGATACAATAATACCTTTATTTATTTTTTTTGCTTAATCTAGTGAAATATTCCTGCTCATTGATAGGCTGCATTGCCCACAATAGTCTAATACCACCACAAAGTCGTATTAAGAGCAGTCTTTCCCATTAATTACCAAGACTCTGGCTGAACCATGAACCATTCCTAGCTGCACCCAGGACAGGTCCTCTGAGGACACAGCATTGTCTGAGGTAAGTTATGTCAACTAACGTTACAGTATCCACTGCAGTTACAGCAGGATGGCAAGTTAGTAGCCTGTTTGGTTCTTCATAGGCTTTTGTAGAAAAATAAACTGGAGTAAGAGTAGGATTTTATCGTTATCCGTTTCTTTGCAGCAGAAGAGACAGCAAGGGCAGCAGGAGGGACTCAGCAGATTCTCATAGTGGGACAGACATTCAGAGAGGGACAGCAGGGCAGGTAGCTCCCATTGGGACAGCCTCCACTGAGGGAGGGACAGCAGGTTAGAGGATGGGGCTGTATCAGAGTAGTTTCAGTAGCTGTTAGTGATTGTGGGAAATATTTATTTTGTTAATGCCATCTAGGTGCACCTGGAATCAGGGTGGAATCCTGAATGGGTAATAATGCCAAAGTTTAAACACTGGCTTTATGTTGCTCCACATGTTGAGCCGAACATTTGCATTTGTAGGTGCATTCCGTGTGTATTTGGGCCAAATAAAAAAGCAGTTCTGAGATAATACTTAGTTTGAATTATTGATTAATAGTGTAGATTATGAATGTAAAAAATAGAATTTGGAAAAAGGGTCCAAATTTAGACCCTTTGGGGAGGTTGGGGCTTTTCATTACATGAAGGATTATCTGGAGCACCATATCAATACTGAGCTCCAGCGGCAGAGCATTAAATGCCACAAATCAATTGCATTAGGTCATTTCCAAGCTTTACTCCAGTCACGTCATCAACCCATTCAAATCACGACCACAAAAGTTGTTTCACATGCAGTTGAATGGGTAGTGTTCAGGGAGGCTAGAATTAGTTGTCACTTAATCTTTTTTTTTTATTTGTATGCATCATGCCATGAATGCTTTTGAGCCAGTCATCATTAAGGAGCATGAAGCTCAAAATGAACACAAAACAAGGTATATGGTAACTTTGTGGATGTGAAAAAAAAGAGTTTAAATGTCTTTAACCTAGCTGTATTCAAATATATGGCCTCATCTGTACATGATAAACTGCATAATCTTCTCATATAAAAGAAGAGCACAAACATTGTGCCTCAAACGCACCTTTTATTTTCTTTAATTTTCCTAATTCAGGTCAAATCAGACCGTAATAGGCTGCAAGGAGAGCAACGTGGCTGCCTGTCTGAGGGTCTCCATCAACAGGCCGAGCTCAGAGGAGTTCAACTACAAAAGGACATTTACAACTGTTTTTATCAATAACCAGGGCAATTCAATGTCCAAATTCAGGGTTCAAAGTTTGTAGGGAGATTTGAGTTGTCCTCTCTAATTTTTTATTTAAAAAAAAAAAACAGTATGAAGACTGTCGACTGTATGCTCTCGTTGATTTTGCGTGTGGACCGTTTGTTACCTGCCTTAAACTCTATCTTGTCGACCATGATTTGTGAGTGTGACCTTTTTCCTGTGTCCTCATAGCACTGATATTTACACAACCAATGTCTGTATGATTGACTTGTTGACTAGAGCACAAAGTTCTTTGTTGATGTAGCTTATTGGTTTTGCTCTCAAAGTGCACCAGATTGATGCATGTAACTTTAAAATGCTGTGTCGACATGTTGAGAGCCGTTAAGAGGCAAAAGATATGTTCCCAATGTCGTATATTATGCACCTTTAAAACCATTGGATGAGTGCCCATGACCTCAATAGTATGTTGTTTTAGGTTAATTACCAGTCAATATGTCAGTCAGCACCTATCAGAGTACATCTGAACATGTTTACAGTTAAAATAAAATATCAGCCTTCTTTTCAACACTTGTCAATAGTGTTTATTCAATTTCTAGTCGTGAAACTTTTATTGCAATCAATATAGATTGTGAGATTTCTGGAAATTCAATTCGGAAAATATTCTTTATATGGTCTCACAGTATGTATCATCATAACCCACAACCAGACTCGATAACTAACAATACAATCAATAGCAATTATTATTGATATTGTGTGTTTGTCATCTTACCTTCGTTGACAAAGAACTCAGCCAGCAGAGAAGAAAGCTGAACAGCATGAGCAGAGTGAGGATAGTTCCGCTTCCTCTTCCACTGAAAACGATTCACCTCCGGGTGCCACTGTACTCCATAGAAGGGATATGTTTTACCTGGCATGAAGGAAGAAACAAAATAAAAAATACATATATTAGTTAATGTAGCATAATAATTACAACTTTGTCAAATTGATATAGAAATAATCTTTTCACCTTCTATGGTTGATGCAAAGTGGACTCCGTTCTCTGCAACGTTTGTAGACAGCAGGGAGAAGAAGCTCTGCAGCTTCTCATTTTCCTTGAAGGTCTGAAGGAAAAATAATTCTTATTAACCTTACAGTATTATTTATGAATTAACCTTGTGTCAATATTTTAATGCCCCAAATTGTATACAGTATTCTAGATTTTTAAGGTCACATAACTTTAGTAAATATGTGTTCTTGTATTTGCTTTTCATGCTGTGACACTTTGTTTTCTTTGCCTTGGATCAATGAAGTTTATCTTATCTGTCAATCTTGAGTACGTGGACAGATGAAGTCGCTGGGGAGCAAAAACACCCATGTCTCTTATTGTGCTGGAATATTGATGGCCTAAAGTGTGCTGAGTGGTAATTTGATTTAACACAAATTAATTGACGAATATGCGCCGTATAAGTTTGATATCACCTGAAATTTAAATTGCATAATGAATCAAATTACAGTACCACAAACCAATGTGCGCCTGGGTTTTTGGGGCCTTGGGGAAGTAATCCAGCTTTGATTAACCACAGACAGTTTATGAAGAAAAACTTGTGAATCTTGTAATGCGTAATGAATGTTAAACCTGCGGATTGTTCGTGTCTACATTTATAAGGTCAAAAGTACCAGTCATATGTGACAGAAAGCCTGGGAGACACAATGTCTCTAATTTTATTTCCCAGCACAGTAACAGCTAAGAAAAACCACAGGAAGTGAAACATACTGTGTACAGTGACAGTTTACTGTACCTTCACTGCAAGTCCATAGTGGTGAAAATTGCCAGTGAGTGGTTCTTGGGTCAAAGCCTTCATGAGACTGTAGGGGAAACCCTCAAACATCCTACTAGAGCCGGCCTCTGCAGAGAGAAATACATGTTAGAAAAGACACAAGGTGTCATCAAGCTAATTATTATTATAAGACAAAAACACAGAACACGCTCCAATTCGTAACTTGCTTCTACTGACACCAAGTGGTACGATCCAGCACACGTTGTTCTCCAGAACATTTTACCAAACAATTTAATAGTCCACTTTATTTAGACCGTACCTTCTATTTAAAACATATTCACTAAATGCCATAAATATAAAAGACATTCACATAAACAACAATAATGCAGTAAGCTCCAACCTGGGGTTAGGTCGAGGGGCAGCGCTATGTTCTCAGCTGTGGTGGCTTCCAGCAGATTTTCTCCGGCCACCAGCACAGTCAGCAGCTGCATGCCCATGCATGTACCCCAGATGGGGAAGAAGTCCCCTTCATCATTGGCCTGCAACACACACACAAAGTCACTTTTTTGTTTCTGACAAAAAAAAAACACTTATTCAGGCTGTTGCAGAAAAAGCTAATTTTCAGACTAAGTCTGCATTCAAATTTGTATTTCGGTATAAGTACCATATTAAAAATAAACTTCACTTTAATATCAGATATATTAGTCTTCAGTGCAAACCTTTCTTTCAGAGTAAAATGTCAGATGGATTAGCGAGAGTAAAACATAATTTACTGTAGGAGCTGCACATTTGTTGAACTTCACTATGTTTTATGAACTTATTGTAGGTTTTACCAGCAAACTAAGAATTCAAAGCAAGTAGTAATCATCTAAACGTAGTGGAGTAAAGAGTATTATTTTTCTTTATGAAATGATTTAGAAATAGTCTGACAAAATGAAAAAGAATGAGCTTTCACTCTCGACTGAACTCAAGCACATTGTTTTCAGTCAATTTAAAAGATTAAAAAGACAGATAATAAACTTTTTTTTTGACCATTAGGCAGAGAGAGAGAGAGAGAGAGAGAGAGAGAGAGAGAGAGAGAGAGAGAGAGAGAGAGAGAGAGAGAGAGAAACAGCTACAGCTTTTGAGGGAGAAACAATGGAAGTAATGATCTGCTGAACAAACCGTCAGAGCGAGTCTGTAAAAGATCTTCGCCACCCTGGCAAAGTCTGATGTCTTCAAATCTGCTGATCCCCCGATGAGAAGCAAGCTAAACAGACATCACACAGTTAGAGCAGTGACACACTGAGATCTGAGGGGAAAATGCAATCAGTGTATTTATTTAAGAAGTATGTAATTGCATCTTCCACTTCCAACTCATTCACGCAGCTCACCCGTTGATATTCCTGAAGATTTCTTCATATTCAGTGGTGTTAAGAGTCAATCTGTGGAAGACAAATAAACGATTCCTTACTTATTGTACATTGTTTATAAAGCACGGAAGCCAAAGGCGACAGAAAGTCCATTTATTTTTCAACAAAAGCAGCAAAACTCAGCAGTGACATATCAGTAGTTCAAATCACAAGTTAACAACACGTCATATACATTTCCAAACATACTGCATTTTTATGTAACTCAACAATACTCTGGTGCTACTGTCTAAAGAAGCAGTGTGCACCTTTTCATTCTGCAGATTAAAAAGGTGGGTGTTAACAGGTAGAATGATCTTCCATTGTTTCTATGACTACCATTGTTTTTGACGCCTAAACTGATCACATATCAAAAAGCTTCAGTAAAAATGTATATGGTATGATGTGGTCTGTCCTTACAGTTACAAACAACATTAGAGGACTCAACCCACCTGATAGGCATCACTCTGCTGCCCCCAGACTCAATGAATTTCACATAGGAGGAAGGTATGTAGGTCCTCCCGAAGGGTTTCATGGCTTCATCTGAAACTATCTGAGTCAAAATACCTGTGGGACAAAAAACACAGCAGATGTGAAAATTCAGCAGTGACACAAAGAAAGTCATTTGTTCTATTTCTTAAATGTTTGTATCCCCTAAACTCTTTACCTCTGGTGGTACATTTCACTCACCGATCACAGGTCTGTCGTTCATAGCCACCTGGTTGAGTTTAGTCGGCAGAGCTTTGTTGCAACACAAGTAGCAGGCAAAAAACAAACACACATATGTTGAAGATCCGGTTTTCGACATGTTCTCGCCTCAATATCCAGCGACTAATCGAGCAACTGAAAAGGTATGAGGCTGTTAAGAGAGTGTTGACTTATGAGAGCAGCTGCAGCAGAGGTATATATGTCGAGTTAGAAGAGGATATAGTCAGTAGAGGGAAGTGAGGAATGTCCAGATTTCCATGTGACTGCTCCTGTACAGCACATTCAAGTTATACAAGTTGACTGCTGAGGTAAACATAAATGTTCTGCTGACAGCACGGACTTTTTGGTAAAATTTGTATCATTTAGTGTGATGGGAAACAATCCCAGCTTCATTAGTCAGAGGATGATTACGCAAAAGTTAAAGGAAATTACATGAGAGCTTTTAAGAAAGCAGCTCTCGGTTCACACGGCACGCTGAGCAGTCAAACAGGTTTCCACCTGACAATGAAATCGGGCTTTCTATTTATAAGATTTTAAAGGAGGGGAGCGCATTGTGTAGTCTGAGACCAAACTTTCTAAGAAGGTTCTGGCTCTGCTGACAAAGACTCCTGTAACATCACTCCAGGGGTTTCTGTCTATTTAAAAAAAACGAATTAATGGACATATTTGAAGATCTGCTTCATTTCAGATTAGCACAGTGTGCATATCTTTACAGTGTAGCAAAATGACAATGACTGATACTTTCTAAAAAAGAAATCCTGGAAGCAATGCAGTTACTGTAACAGACAGATTATGTTGACAGCAAATGGGTCTGTTTTTATTTTGAATCAAGATGTAACGGTGCAATAACTTGAATCAGCAGGAATGTGGGTCCTTGTGGGGTTGTTGGTAGAGCACCGACTGCTTGTAAAAACCTCTACAGGGTACCATTCACTATAGCGATTTTGCAAACTTTTTTCATCAAATAAACAAGCCTTTGCACCAAGGCTGGATTATTAACCGGGCAAAGATTAGCTGCATGTCAGAAGTAAGATATGAACAGGTCCTGCATTATTAATTATTAATTAATGTTTTGGCCCTGTCTGTTTTTGTAAAGAAGATAATTTAGTTTTATTTGAGTTTATATTATGTTCACATGGTGCATATTTTCTTAATCGTATTACAGCACAAAAGAATCTGAGGCTGCCATGTGTAGTCAGCTGTGTGCACACAGTACTTAATGGGAACTTGGAGGCAAAAAGGTGAACTTTTGTGTTGGGTGGAGAGTCCACAGAGGCCTTGGGGCATGTCGATTAGGCACACATTTTATTTGAACTGGTTTCATGATAATAGAATAAAAATAGCTGGTTCAACATAAGTGCGAAAGATTTTCTGCTGTGATGTGGCTTTCCTTATCATTTGTTGGTGAAGAGAGTTTGATAGAGCTTTGTTTGCAGGTCATAGAGTGCTTGCGCAGAGAACAGTTTAAAGTTGGTCACTAGTCTGTCTCCAGTTTATCAGAAAGAACCACCAGGTGGAGACAAAATGCCAGCAATGCTACAAATTCACAGTTTTAGTCTTTGGCAAATAATATATAAGAAAAAATAATGCTCACCAAATCACAGTATGCAATGATTATTGTTTAATATTTGTTGTATCCAAGTATGAGTGAGAACTGATCTTTGACAATGATGCACACTTTATGTATTCGGTAAACTGGTGTTACATCACATGTGTATGTAATATGCACACAGTATGCGCATGTGTGATTAAAAAATAACAAAAGTAAAACTTCTCCATACATCATCAGAAAAACAACGCAGTGACGTATGAAACATTGTAAGATATCACATCAGTCAACTGTATGTCGACTGTATTCAGCATCAAGTTGTGAAAAACGTCACATATTTAGGTTTCTCAGAGTTCCCCCTAACTTTAAAATACTGTCTATTACTTAAACGACTCGCAGTCTTTGTCCACTCTCCAGCACCAACAATTTCAGATGCAGTTAATTCTTATACAGTTTTTAAAAAAATCTTTTCAGCAATATTAACCATTGTCAGTATTACATAGACATTAACACTTTATTTTGGACCCTTCAGTCACACATTAGTCTAAAAAATGAACTCTCTTGTTATCCATGGGAGCAGCAGTCACCAACTTCAAATGGCAAACAAATGAAATTCGGACCATGTCAGTCCTTTTCTGCAAACAAAATACACAAAATAAAATGAGTTTTTTTTCTTTTAAATACAGTATTTTAAGTAACCTTACTAAAAGAGTCTTGAAGACTTAGTCCCAGCTTTAGCATGTCTCTCCTTATTCAAAACAAGTAAGTGGGATTTGTTGTTGATGTGTTGTTTATTATTGTTTGCAACTTACCCTTCAGCCTTTCTATTTCCTGACAAACATCTTCATGCACATCTGCCAGCAGTTCTTCCTTTGGCTTCAGTCCATCCAGAAATACTAACAACAAACAGATAAATCAGTCATTTCATCTTGATAACTAGTGAATCTGCTACAGTGATCATGGTTTCATTATTTAACATACTTTTTTTGAGGTCTCAGCCACAATAAATACCCTAACTGCTCCAATAATTCAGTTTCCCCCCCCCCCCCCAATTGGCATCACATACTGTACATGTGGCATCATCAACTGGATACTCACAAATTCCAGACACCATGCTCTCCATCTCCTGCCGGTTTTTCAGGTACATTGGCCACACGTGTCCATCAAAGTACCCAGGAGGATCGGGAGGCGTGTACACCCTCGAACTGTCAATCGAAGACAGCAACACAGGTGAAAACATGAAGAGGCGAACTTTCTCTCTCTGCTTTTTTGGTTACTGCAGCTCAAACATAACTCATGGAAAACGAAACTGAAACAAAATCCATTTCTAAAAGGTGAAAAACAGAAAAGACAAGTGTATTGATTTTAGATTCTGACACCTTCGTCTCCTTTTGCAGACTTCGTAAGCTATTTCCATGAAGTATCTTTTGTAAAATAGCTCATTCAGAGGCCTGGAAAGGTAAAGCACACAAAAACACAAGTTAGTTACAGCATTACGACCTAGAATATCTTATGATTATTATCATTCATATTATTAAAAGAGAAGTTTTATCAAGTTACAACTTTCTAATAATAGGCCAATAAAGTAAAGCGTAAATGACAAACACAGTAGCTGTTTTAAAGCCCCCCTCGTGTACCGGTGGTTGAAAATGAGGAAGCCCTCCACTATCAGCACATACACCTCCTCATCCACTGGTGGTGTCGTGCGCTCTGGGTTCAGGCCTCGCCGCCTCAGGAACGACTCAGGATCTCTTCGCCACGAGTCGACCTCGCTCATCATCGTGTCCATGTGGAGAGCGTCGAGCACTTCAACAGAATGGATGAAATTAAATATTCAAGTTATTTATCAGCAAAATGCCAATCATTGTCTGGTTCCAGCTTCTCAAATTTGAAGGTTTTTTTCTGTTTTTATAATATTTGAATGTGAAACTGTAACTAATATTTTATAAGGATTATTATCTTAAAAGTAATAGATATGAAAGTAATCATTATCCGATGCCCTACTTTTTTTGTATAAATAGTGTAATCTCTTTCTTTCTTAGCCTAGAAGTATTCACTTTTAAATATATTGGAGATTTACATTTATCTGCTGATTTATTTGCAGATATTCACAACCTCCCCAGGTATAGATAAAACTCCTAAGTCCCCAGAAAATATACCAAGAACATGGCCGCAGTGTTCTTTATTGTAGCTAGTCCCTTGCATCCCTCCAGTCACGCATATATCTATCCACCATTTTCAGATGGATGAATAGACAGACGACAGCTGCACCGAATATGTCTTAAACAAACAATTAAAAGTGTCCTTACTGTCATATTGCTTGAACCCATTGCTGTCCACTGGAATCACAGAATCATCCTGAAGAAAAGAGCATCCACTGTGATCACTGGAGCATAACTGCCAAAGTGTAAAAGTATGATATGATTTAAAGTAGTCTACCTTAAAATATGAATCCTGTGCAATGAGACAGCTGTTGGGTATCTGCTGGTGTAAACTCTTGGAAAGAGTAGATTTTCCCCCATTGGTCATCCTGAAAGAAAAACAGATTCGCAGATATCAGCTTCTTGCAGATATGTCAGTTGATGTGTGTGCCAGCCAATAAAAAAATAAGAAATTGCAGTTTAGAAATGTTTCCTTTTTTATCTGTGAAATATCCTGCCCAGTACATCTCTAGGTCACAGTTATTTAGACAGAAAACACACATTTAAGGGATCCTCGTAAAAAATGTGTTAATGTTTTTTAATGTAAAAGAAAAAGAATATCTGCTGAATATGTTTCTATTTTTAAATCGTGTCTTGTATTTTGGACTGTGTTGATTCTTTAATGTTATGCAGCACGTAGTCAAATTCCTTGTATGTGCAACATACTTTGGCAATAAAACGGTTCTGATTCTGATTCTATTAACATGTCATTGGATAATAGGAGGCGTGCGCATTTCCCGGTGCTTTTCTGTGTCCTGCTGTCTTGCCTCCCTGCATTTCCCACTGAGCTTACACAATAAACCACCAACTTCTTAAAAGAAGTACGAAGTAATGACACAAACCAGTGTTTCCACTTTACATTTTATAAATGTGATGTGAAAACGCATGCAAAATGCTATCTGAGGTCCAACAGGCTATCTGGAGGCGAAATGACCCAGGAACAGCAAAAGGGATGCAGGTCAACACAGCAACACATTGATGTTAACAATCCTCAGGACTTACTTACCCACCAACTCCTACGACTAGTGTCTTCATTTCAGTGTTTGATTTATTAAACTGCTAAAAGCAACAGCTCATGTGCAGACGTATCTAGTACACAGGCATGTTAGTGGCCACTGCTGCTGCAACAACTCTGTAAATTGCTTACTCGCGCTTTTCCGCTATCGGACGCTCGTGATTCGCTGATGGAGCTGTTACGTCAAAAGACAAACATTTAGTACATGGTATACAGTAAAATCAATAGAGTTACTTACAACAAGGTTCTGTTGAATGAAGTATGAAGTATGTTGAAACTAAATTAAATAATAAATCAATATAAATAGAATACATTGTGCAAAACGTTCAGGGTTCACATGCAAATATGTAAAGTAAGCCATGTACAAGATTGTTACGTGCCGTGTTGTGCTTGTGCACAACGTAACAAAGATTATAATATATGTATTTATACATATGTGTGTATATGATATAAATAAATGACTAAGTTATAAATAACGTACTATAAAAAATAGTACATTCAAATAAAAAAATAATTAAATAAACGGAGTTTACACCAAGAAATAGATAAGATAAATATAAAACATTTAATAGAAATAAATAAATAGTGATAAATAATAAGATAAAGTAATATGAAGAGGAAATAATACATTGTACAGAGTTTACATAAAACATCATCTCAACAAAAATGAATCTATCATCATATTAGTCTATATATATCCATATATCTGTTCATCTATCTATCTATCAGTAAGCAATGCAATAAAAACGAATTTCACAGTTTAAGTTTTGCGCATGCGCAGCAGAACTTTTCCGCCTACCCTGTGGTGCTACACGCACTTCCTCATTGGCAGTGATAGCAAAGTGTTCTCACACACCAGCGACGTTTGTGACAGAAGTAACACACCGCGGGTCTCGTTTTATTTCATCTCTGAGCCTCGTAAATGTCGAAGCCACCTCCCAAGCCGGCCAAGCCAGGTAAGAAAGACGCTGCGAAGTTATTGTGGTTCAAATGTAGCCATAACTTCAGCTCTCTGTCTCTTGCAAAGACTACACACCTTGTTGTCGGTGTCAGCTTAATGGGCGGACGGTGAGTCCTTCAAGAGTGAGTGAGATATGCTGATTTCTGTCGGGGTTTTTTCTGTTAAACTTTCACGACACAGTGGAAGGAAAGCTCATACACTCTGATTAATGTGAATATCCGTCATTACCAGCACGACAGTGGAGTTGGTAAAAAGCGCCTTCACTGCTGATTGGCAGGGGGATCCAACTCTTAGCAGCAGGCCTCTGTAACTTCCCTATTTCCATCACTCATACAAGAAGAGTGCAATCATTGAGTGGCTTTAGGTCGTAGGTTAGGAGGTGACAATGAGTCCACATGCTCGATAACAGCAGCTCAACTTCCTGCAAGCTCAGTCCGTGCTGCTATTCTGGTGACTCCATCCCAGAGATTATGAAATGTGTCTATTACTCACAAAGAGAAATGTGAGGTGAATTCAGAGCACACATGTGGATTGTGTGCATGACTTTAAATGTGAAGGAATAGCACTTACTTTGTTAAAAACCTATATATTGTTTCTGTGCAACAGGTGTCATCACAAGTCATGGCAGGTGTTAAAAAAAAAAAGTTAAAAAAATAGTTCATATGAGAAGCAACAACACATCTTCACATCTGCTGTAAAACCTGCACTCACCCACCCACACGCATACCTATCTTTCTGAACATCAGTTATTCAGTCGACTTCACTGATGCACACTAAATCAGATGGACAGAATATTAGAAACGGACCAAAAATGACCACAATGTTGAATCAACACTTTTCTAAAACAGTTTAAACAAAAAAAACAGATCATCACAAACTTCACGAAGGCCGGATTTATTGACTCCACATTAATCTTAGCTCAGGTTTACTTAGGTGTACACTTAGGTGTACTTCTTACTGTTACACACCATTGCACATCTTTTCTCTATTTATATACACTTGACACTTTAATATACTTGTTTGAACATACTTTATTTTTGTTTGTTCACCATAGTTTATTGTAAATTTTCATATTTCTTTTATTTAAATGATGTCATACTATTGCACTGTGTTGTTGCTGTTACACCTCGAAGTCACCTCGCCAAATTGCTTGTAAGTGTACTTGGCAATAAACAGTTTCTGATTCTGATACTTACTAAACTGGCAGCTGAGTGTATTCTCTCCAGGTCACATCCTGTGCATCAGGCAATGGCAGATGTGTAAAAAAAGAAAAGTCAACGCTGTTAGCGATGATTGTCAGAGAGTAACTTCAAGAATCTCTAAAGATGCTCTGAAGTCTCACAGAGGACGAGCAGGCACAGTTCTGCAGACATCTTGTACAGTATGTCATGTTCAGCCTGCATTATCGTTCATACTCGTCGAGTTTATTCATGAGGCGGCTCCATGACGCCACACCTGGTTGAGACGGCAGGTGACACCGTCTGTCCTGACAGATGGCTGGTTGGTGTTCAGTTATATGAGGCAAAGTCGGAGCCTCGACGTGGTCACGACTGATGTAGTTTTATTATTTTATTTTTATCTGTGCCGTAATTCACGTGGATGGCTGAGGATTCACTGCCTTGATGAGTTTTGCTGCATTGTGAGCAGCGTACAGGAGATGTATTCATGCTGTTATGTGGTGCTGCAGTTTGTGATCCTTCTAAGATAATGTAACTGTCCCTCTGATGGAGCCAAAGTAGAAAATAGAATCTCTCTACAAAGATCAATTCAAACCTTTTTTTCAGTGGGTAATTGAAGACATCTTGAGCTTGTGTCCCATGATAACGTCGATGACCACATACACCCGGAAACATGCAATCTAACTAACAGGACCAGACTTATGAGTTTATTTTCTTTGTGTTGAGGAATAGTGTCAGTTTTGTCAGGAATGTTGAGAGGGCAATACTAGAGATCTGTGTGTATTCTCTTGTGCAAGACATTATAGTGCCTGTGCTAATGACTCTTGGTGTCGTATTTTTGGAGGCTTTGATGGTTTGGATTTTTTGGGTTGGGCTTTGCAAAGCAATGGGAAAGACCAGACTGTTGGAGTTGCTCTTGCAATGAAATAACACAGCTGGAAATCATCAAAAAGCCCACAAGCAAAATGACAATGTTTTGCTCACTCTGAGGACATTCTTTTCTTTGTATTTTGAGCCTCAGGCTTTACAATCCAGAGAGAAGGTGGACTGGTCGGCACAGGCCTCTGTGTGTTTTAGGGGACGTGACCGGGCCTGCAGAGCAGACATGGTTGCTGGTGTTGAACAGAGCTGAGCTTGTGCATTCTGAGACACTGAGGCAGTGTGCAGGCTGAACAGAGAGCCTGACTAACAGCAGAGGGGAGTAACAGCTCTCCAACGTTTAGGTCTGTTAGCTCAAGAAATCTGCATTTACCAGACTTGTATGTCCAGAATTAAATGCATTACGCATATTACCAGTAAATACATTTTGAGAGAGGCTTTTTCAGCAGTTTCTTTTTTTACTCTTTATTCAAATTCTAGCTGATGATGATCATTCATGCTCGTCTATTCATTTGTTTGTTTGTCAAACTCAATAAGAATATACAAGAGGAATAAAAATACTCTACAGCATATAAAAACATCAACGAATTAAAAAAAAAAAAAAAAAAATTTTAAATAATGTTTGCTAATTATATATGAAGCTAATTTGCAGCCTTCATCCCTGTTAAGAGTGAAAAAAAATCAAATTAAAACAATGAAACAAATTTTGTGTGTAAAGCATTGTTATGGACATATCCAATAAGGCCCTGGAGAACAAGAACAATCTTTGAAAGGGAAGTCAATAGTGAAGCACTTACAAAACTGTAAATCTGCAAAGCAGAATAATTTGCACTGCAGACGTCACACATTTTGGAGTTAACTGAAAACTTTCGTTGTGTCGAGCTCATTAGTCTGTTTAGTAAACTTTGTGTGTATTTAGCAAATATGCGGTACAACATACTGCACACAACTTCAGCCATTGTTTAGTCCCACAAATCAATAGTTGGTAGACATAATAAAAAAAAAAGTAATTGTGAAATGTGGCTCTGCTTCTTTAAGCTCTTGTGTCGTTCTCCATGAACTGTTGAGCTGTCAGCTAAGGCCGCATTCACCCTGGTAGCTTTCTAGCAGCAGAGCTAACGTCAGGCTCCACATCACATGTCCTGAGGGCAGCCACCTCACAAGGACCACCATCTATGTGTTTCTGTCCCTGCACTGCATGTCAACAACATGTGTATTGTTGTTTGCTGCAGCAGAGATGTTGTGGTGGACGCAGGCGCTCCAGAGCAGACATGAGGCGCTGCGTGTCTGAGTGCGGGTTGCATTGCTCAGGCAGGGCCACGTGCTGCTGGCTCTTAAGTGAGCTGATTGATGATGTTGGCACTTCTCTGATTTATTTAGGCAGCTTCTGAAAAGTGAAGCCAATGTGGAAGTGCATTGAATTTGCGTTCTTTCGCCATCGGCCATCGGAGGTCAACTCCTCTGGTTGCAAAAATAAGTCGGATTGTATAGAAGTCTATGAGAAAATGACCTCACTTCTCCTCTTCTCACTTGACTTAATGAGTTTATGGTCTCAAGTCTTCTTAAATAAAGCGGGGTATGCTTTAGGGCGGGGCTACCTTGTGATTGACAGGTCAGTTCAAAATATATTTTTCAGTGTGAGGGTGTACTTAGCTTCACCCTCTCATGACACTTCTGGTTGCAAAAAACCAAGATGGCGACACTCAAAATGCCGAACTCGAGGCTTCAAAGTCCACAAACCAGCGGGTGACGTCACGATGACTGCGTCCACTTCATATATACAGTCTGTGGATTTATTGCACTTTCATGAGCGTCATTTATCACATTAAGGCTACATTCTGCGCTCGCCTGCAGCCTCATTGTAGTGAATCTAGGCCGTTTATTCTACAGAGCTGTTGAGTGATAGCATGTGTGGTTTCACCTCACTTTCTCTATTTATATTCTCAAGCACAGTTCTCTCTGTTCAACACTCTTTTGCATACAGGGATGAGGTTAACGGTCCACTAACAGTCTGCAAATATTTCTTCTAACATGAAATCTCTTTGTTTTCTCTCAACTAGGCCAAGTCAAGGTGTTCCGAGCACTGTTCACCTTTGACCCCAGAACGGTGAGAGATTTTTGTTGGTTTAGATGGATTTGTTTTTCTAATATTTGATGATTGTTGAAAACCATTCGTTCAGTCCTTTTTTTATTTTCGATATTTAATATTTTGACATACCTCTTCCATGGATTTTAATATATGAAACAGCTGTTCGCTCCTGTATGCGAGCATTTCAGTTTACATTGCTTTGCAGAATAAAAGCCACAAAACAATCACTAAATCAACAAGGGCAATGTGCACATAAGATCTCAGGTCATTTCAGAGAGGGGGCGTTCCTATTTGATGTTCTACTAATGCAGATGTGCGCGCATGTCCCTTCAGATGGTAAAAGCCAGATTGAAAGACGGAATATCCTGCAGCTAAAGTTGCTATTCCAGCAATGGCAACAACTGCCTGCAACGCAAAGCAACCCAAAAAAGACAGACTTATCTTAAAATACTTATCTTAAAAGAGGGATCCGACAACAACCGCAATAAAACACGTCAGTATCTGTGAAGCGTATAATAGTTTATTCTAACATTTCTTTTCCATCTCTGAAGCGCTTTGTGGATATTGTGGCTAGCAAGAGCCTCAGATCAGTCTGTCAGTTTGCAAAGAAAACGGGACTGTAATTCTGATATAAATGCATCGGGATTACAATTACCATCTGATTATATAAAGTGTGAACAATTCCTTACCCACTAAACTGTTACTAATCCCTCTTTTTATGTCGTCCATCAACAGTTTCAGGTTAAACTATGTTCAAATTTAGCAGTCCCGATTATTTCAGTAGGTGGTGAACAATGAGGGGAAAAAGGGGATAAAATGCAACACAAAAGTCAGTCTTAGAATCCTGCGAAGGCATGAAACTCACTGATTAGTCCAGAGTCACATTGTCCTGTTTTTATTTCAGCCAGACGAGCTGTTCTTTGAAGAAGGAGACTTTTTGTACATCTCTGACACGGTGAGTAAAGCCTCAGAGATTCTTGCTGCGCTCTTCTCCATGTCCCATTTAGTTTGAATCTTATTTTGCACTTCTTCTTCCTCTTTCTTTGGAATCTGTGTTGCACTCTTTGCATTTTGTGTCTCCCTTTTTGTGTTTCTATTTTCCACCTTACAGTCAAAACCGTCTCCCTTTCCTTCTTCCCTCCCTCTTTATACCACTAATATTTTCCTTGCATGTCACTTTGTCCTGTTTGTCTCCACACATTTACCTCTTGTGATTTTTTTTAAATTTTAAATACAAAGATATCTGCATTCCAATTATCCCCAGAGTGACAGTAATTGGTGGAAGGGGACGTGCCGAGGAAGGACAGGACTCATTCCAAGTAACTATGGTGAGTAGTAAACTTAGAATAACCGTAATAGTGAATCTTAGATAAAGCACTAATGATGGTGTTTTGTCTTTTTAGTGGCTGAGCAGGCAGAGTCTATCGACAATCCAATGCACGAAGCAGCCAAACGAGGTGCGACAACTATCTACACGTCTGTGTTTCAAAGTGTTTATTTAGTCATGTTTTTGTGACATTGTCGTCAAAGGCATCCAAGGCATTCCTTCATCCTGGAGAAAAAAAAAACATTGACTTCGATCGTGTCTTTTCTGTTTTTGCTGAAGAGCTGTTCCACTGTTTGAATTACCAGTAGCCTTCTCGGTTTAACTCCGTGTGTGCTTCGTGTGCACATATTCGTTCATTTAAACAGGCAATCTGAGCTGGCTGAGGGAATGTGTGGAAAACAAGGTTGGAATCAACGGGCTGGATAAAGCGGGAAACACTCCCCTCTACTGGGCATGCCACGGGGGACATAAAGGTAACTGATTGTGGTGTTTAAAACATGTTAAGATTTACTTTTTGAAATGAACAGAATGGATTCAGGCCTCAAAAACGTCAGCTTCTTGTGACAAACTCTTAATTTTTCCGACTTGCAGCAATGATGATTGGGCTGACGGATTGTGTACATCACTTTGTTGAGGCAGTGACTGAATGTAATCCCATACATCTTGAATTGTGACACACTGGAAGATTCATTTTACATGAAGTACAGAAAAACAGGAAGTTGGCCTATGAAAGTGTTCCAGTTCTTCTGTGTTCCTCCATTGTCCCCACGCGATTGTTATGTGATACATGTTGAACTCTTCACTCAATCCATTGCTCAAAGTTCTCTTTTTTTATTCTCTTTTCTTTCTGTATCAGATGTGGTGGAGGTGTTGCTAAGCCAGCCCAATGTGGAGCTCAACCAGCAGGTAGGTTGGGTTTAAGGCATGAAAGTAGATTAACTAATGCGTCCAAAACATCGGGATGCTGTTCCCTGATTCCCCAGCCCATCTCTTATTCCAACATTTGCAGAATGGGGACATGGTGAAAGCCTCATGGTGATTTATTACAATCATTTTTTTTATCCCAAAATGTGTAAATGAACTGGGCCAAATGTATCAGTCCCCTTCATATTAATGCTTCTTCATCAATAGACCCTATAACATACCTGACATAAAACTATTTTTAAAAGATATCTAATAGAAGCGATGCAGCTGTGAGGACAAATATTGTGCAAACAACGATGAAATCCGAAATGGACTTGGAACTGTCGGTGCTTGTGAAACAACCGCGATGACACCGTGTCGATGTTAGAAACACAACAATCGTATCCACGCTGAACAGTCTGCTGCTCATCTCAGTAGATGGACCGGGGGTCGCCTCCCTCCCACACAGAGATTTGCAGGGGATGTGGGAGAAACACCACAGGAAATCCAAAAGAGAAGACTATACTTAGCCTATTTATTTTTATGTCCACTATTGCAGTTTGAGATTATTATCTAAATATTTAACTTTATAAATAAGTGTTTTGGCGCGCCTGGTCGAGTGGAGCTTTCTATGATACTGAAAGGGTGATTTTATTCCGGCATGATGAATTAACATTATAACCTTCTGTTTTATTGTGTTTGATCACATCCTCAATGTGTCCACATGGGGAAATATTATGCTACTTCATGAATTACATTTCTAAAAAAATGGATTCAAATATTCCTGCAAATGTAGTTATTTACAATAGTCTATAAATTATCTATTATCTAATATTCTATGAATGTTACTTAAACAGCTGTAAGAAGGCTTCATAGTCCATACAGGCCCACTGTGGTCTGTGATTTATTTTATCCCGACAAAGTGATGTACAGTCTGTACTGTGGAGAGAAGCAAATGAAAGGAATTTTTCTCCCATATGGTTAGATATCATGTCACTTTAAAACAAATAAATTTGAGCAGGTAAATCTAAACTGTAAAAAGTGAGCCTTGACATTACGACCTCCCCCACGGATGGATGAGAAACACTTGATCCATTCATGATACTGCAAGATGGGGGGGCAAAAGTAAGGGAAACGCCTAAATGCATCCACTGAGAAACAAAGACGATACTCGCATACAGCACAAAAGGCATCACTCAGTGGTTTGATGACGTCTCCACCACCATCATCAAAACCACCATCATCAAAACACTAGATGAAGGAATATGTTTTAGAAAAGTTGTGAACAACTTTCCAGTATAGTCTCAGAGACTTCTATGACGAGAACAATTGAAGCTGTTCTGGAAGCTGCTGATGGGCCCGACATATTACTTTGTGCATCTTTCACCCATCTGAAAAGTTGTTGTTTTTTTTTCATATAGCTGTGGTTTGGGTGTGGTTTCACATCTTAGTTCAATGACGTCAAATAGAATCCTTGTCAAGGCGTTTTGTCTGTGATGTGCATGCTTTGTGTTTCAGAATAAACTTGGGGACACTGCTCTGCACGCTGCTGCCTGGAAAGGTTATTCTGACATTGTGGAAATGCTGCTGACCAAGAGTGAGTGTCTAGCCTCGTCTCGTATTTGGTTTTATGAAAAAGGAAATTCAGCAGGTCATGTTCTTTATTTGGATGGATATCGACACAGAGCAGGGAAAACACTTAGACAAAGCTCCATGAAGGTTTTTATCAGACCATAAAAGGAGGATGTGTGGTTCCAAATTGAGGAAACAATAACCAGCTGACTCTCCACGTTTTGTGTGCCTCCTCACATGCACACAGTTGTATCTCTGTGTCTTCCTGTATGTAGTTTCTGGTCTTTTTAGTGCGACTGTGTTTGTTTCAGATCCGAGGACGGACGTAAGGAACAACGAGAATAAGCTGGCTCTGGAGATGTCCACCAACCCTATGTGTGCTTCACTTCTCAAGAAGAAGCAGGGAAGCAGTAAGTACAGTGGCCAACAGGGGGCGTGCACACACACACACACACACACACACACACACACACATACAGTATCTCTGAGACAGGCCACACACTCCCACAGGGAACAGAATAATATGCTGTTTCTTTATTGAACTGGGGTTGACTGTCAGTGCACAGCATAGACAATCCTTGAGAGTAGCACCAGCATCAGTGCAACAAAGGACCATGAATGAGCCTCTCATACATTGTGAACTAACTCCATGAAACCACACATGCTTAGGAACTTATTTTGCAAAAGATGCAAGAGACATACGGCCACTAATAATATAAGGGGCAGAGGTTTTGCAGATTCATATAAGCAGTGAAATATTGCAATATTCCTGTCATTAATTGTCCATTTCTCTTGTTTCAGACATCACACGCACACAAAGCAACGCTGAAGAGTATTTGGACGATGAGGACTCGGACTGAGCCGGTCCTGTCGAAACATCTTCACTGTCTTCTGTTTGGTTTTGGGAGGGGTGGGGGGGGGGGGTCGTGGAGCTCAGAGAGATTAATTACCGACCTAAAAATGGATTTGCTGCTCTCTTTCCAACCGTAACTCAATTTTAGTTCCATTATTTTGTGCAAACACCTCAGCCCTCTGCATCACCTCAGTGTCAATTTCAAAGCTTTGAATTGAGGCGTTTTACAATTTGCCAAGTGCATTTCAACCTGCCGGGGATTTGTCTTTGGTGTTGCACACTGGGGACTGAGAGGCATAATGTATGTAGTAATGGAGAAGGCGCCAAAGCTCTAAAAAACACATTCCAAACATACAGATTGTGTTCAACCCATTTACACTGGGCATTAAAGTGCCAGCGCAGATTAAAAGATTGGTCTGGTTTGTGTCTAGTTAAGTTTTAATGCTCCACTTGAGTTACTGAACCATGAAATCACCCTAAAGGAATTTGAAATGTGTTATCTCTCACAGCTTAGAGCGCCATCACAAGATCTGTTATGTACATCTGGGAGGCAGTGCAACGTTTGTATTTAACCTTAATATTTCCTCTTTTAATGGGAAGTGCTGAGGGACCCAATGAGAGATTTCCTTGTGTTATCTGCTTGGTCAAATTAGGGGGTGTCATGTGTAATGTGCGTAAACGGGCCTAATAGGGGGAATGTGTCTGCAAACTGTCTTGTACGGCCACAATATTCCTCCCCCTCCATTATTATTCATGAAAGTCACCTACACTGCACATGTTTTGATCTGTTATAACACCTGCATTCCTATTAATGTTCAGTTACTTAAATAATACAACCCCTGTAAAACAGACTTTACATTAGTCTTTCATCTCTCAAGCTTTTGATGATGTGATTTCCATTCTGGGAGCTATTTTCTAGTTTGTTTTCTTGCTGCTTTCCCACAGATTTCCCACACATTTAATATATATACATATATAGATATATGTATGTGTTAAAGTGCCTTATGTGTGACATAGTCTTTTGTTATGTATCAATGTGAACATGCTTTTATCTTCTGAGGTTGTGAATTTCTTAAGATGATTTTGTTCTAGATTTCTACCTGCTCTCTCTTTAATCTACAATAAAAGATTTTTAACTTAAAATGTCACTTTGAGTAGATGTTTTTTTGAACATTTACAATAAATTCACACACATGGCATCTTTGGATGCAAGTGTTAAAGTGAAATGTGTCAGGATTTAGATTATTTTTATTTCATTTTTTCCAAGTTACAGAAGCCTTACTAGAGATTATTATGAATTATTCAAAGCTTCTCACAGTGAGCCAAATTCCTCTCATTACTCACCCAGTGTGCAAACAAACCACTCACATGTAAAGTAATACCATTGTGGGCTGCATACTCTTAAACCCCTCTGGCTCAGGCCCCTGCTCAGAAATAACATGCCCAACATGAATAGTGTATCTTTTCAATTTAAATAATATTGGTATCATAATAAAGGTAACACTTGTGAGATTTGCAGAGGTGTACGCATTACTATATATGTTAATGTGTATATGTAAATAAAGATGGAACACAATTGATGAAAGATTTCCTTCCTGTCTTAACAAAACTGTAAAAGGCAAGATCTTCAAACTGTCCATTTGGATACAATCTGTGCCATTTTTAATTTTCTCAGGTAAAAGATTCATAAACATGTCACTGTAGGTATTAATTCCATCTATACAACTGGTTTTGAAAAAAAAAAAAAAATCAATCATACCTCTGCACACAATACCACCTGGTCTATGTCTAGTATGGGTGCTGTACCACAATTCATCCACGAGATCGAGACATACACCGCGTTTTCACGTGCAAGGCTGAAGGATGACGGGCTCCTCGATGCAGGAGTGCAGTGTGCAAATGCTCCTTCATACCATGCACATGAGTAGAGACGGCTGGAAGCCACTCAAAAGAGATCCAGAGACATTGGAGTAACGATTAGCAGCACATGGCCTCGACCACAACTTCTGAGCACAAAACAGAAAAGGTTACAGATAACTCATGGTTATATCTGTATATAGTGATGCTTTTTTTCTCTTTTTTGCTGCTAGTTTTGTGAGTTTTGGTCGCACAGTGATCATACTTTATAATCTGTCGAGACTCGGCTTTCACAGTGCGTTTGTGTTTATAACACAAGTTTGTGTTTGTTTGTGCGGTTTAGCATCAAGCAGCAAAATCGCTAGCATCAGTCTTTGTTGTTTTTTGCAGTGTGCTCATTTAGTTACTTGATGTTTGAATTGGTTGCGATGAGAGCTTCTTACCGTGGTGTGCAGGATGAATATGTTGCTCTCTGGTGTTTGTCAACGTACAGTAATTGCCCCCGGTAATTACGGTAATTGGGAGGGCAGGATGCTCGTCGTGACTGATAAAATAGGGCAGGAATGCACGCCAATGAATATTAATACACAGTATAAACGATTAAAAAAGTCAGTTCAAAAGTCAAAGAATTCCTTTATTACAAAGTCAGCATGTTGATGATGTTCCAAAGAAGGCAGAAAGGGCAAAAAAATAGATGTAGACAAATACAGCAAGTCTCTCGTGAGGGATTCAGGTACATGCTACATAACTGCCAGGCCAGAGAGAGAAAAGAAACAGATCGTTCAAACAGAGAGAAGGCCCCTAACTCTTAAACATTTCTTCCTGACTTAACATAAACAGGAATTGCTCAAAAAGATATAAAACCCACCTCTTTGTACACACACAGCAGAGGAAGCAACTGGTATTTATCAAGAGTAGCAAGTGCTGACTAAAACCATTTCACTGCCTTTCAGTTCAGGTCAAAACAAGGTTATTTCTCCTCAGTCAGCATCCATGTAGGGCACAAGAAATCTGTCCTGGTATAAAAATCTGAAATCTGGTCCCTCTTCACTGAGCAGATAAGAGAGAGGAAGTGACTAGTGGAAGCTTTTTAACATTTGTGATGCATGTCTGAAGCCGAATGTCAGACTGAGGGCATCCTGCAGCAGCAACTACTCAGTGAGAGGATGCGAGGAGAGAGGGAGCATCTTCAGAACCAGCCGCCCCTCTGGGATTTATTTAGGAATACTGAGCCAGACTGAGCAGCAGACTTTCCCCTGGGGTTTTCATTGTTAGGAGTATCAGTATCAAGATTTATGGCTCGACTTAGCAGTACGAAATTCAGATAAATACACTGACCTTCAACAACAATGCTCACTCGGGTAGCAAAAGGATTGTTATTTGTGGGTGCAGGAGGAGATTTAAAAGAAGCAGTTCTGATTAATTTATAGGCCTCCAATAATACACGGTAGGACTGAACCAGACACACACACACACACACACGGTCAAAGTAAAACAAAACTGCAGCATTAGCTCCACTTTAAGTAAAGAGCTGTTGATTCTGTGCATTTTAACAAACTTGACGGCTGCACATTAAAGCAACAGTTTGACATTTTGACAAATATGCTTGATTTGCTTTGTGGCGGGGATGAGAAGATTTACATCGCTACCATATTGTTCGATTAAATATAACACACCGGGACCTCTGAAGCTCAAGAATGAACTTCTTAAATGTAAAAATCTCAACGATTTGAATCTAAATAAAAGTCTGTAAAGTCACTATTTAATGCCCGACTCTTTTTTTTGTCTCAGACCCAAAAACTAGCAGATTAAATGTGCTCGATTAAGAAGATAGATATGTACTTTATTCATCCCCAGGGGGAAATTTGTAAAAATGTAATGGTCCGACTGGCACCTTAACCTGGGTAAAAGGACCAATTGTTGATTTTACAAGTCAATTTCTTAACGTGATTCAGAAAAAGCGGATACATGACGTGTTGATAACTGTGATGTGATGTGTTGAGGTCCTTGAGGCCAGATTCTGTTCCCAGGCTAATTGTTTCCCGTCTTTATGTTAAGCTAAGCTAACCGGCTGCTAGCCACAGCTTATTGGCAAGTTTTGCTAACACTCGGCCAGACAGCAAATAAGGGCATTTCCAAAAATGTTGAAGTATTCCCTTAATGTGTCAGTAGTAAAACAAGGGGTTGTCTTGAGCCACAAACCAAAAGATGAACCTCTTCTTTTTGAAGACAGCAGAGTTTCACCAGATATGCAACTATATATTCATGTCAACAAACTGTTGCCAAACCAGTAGGCTACGATTATTTGTGGAATGAAAGCCTTCATTTCGTTACATGAAAACAAGCAAATCAAAGCCAAAAGGACCAATACCAACACATCCATACAACAATGTCCCCTTCATCCTGTAATTCAGTTTCTCTGATACGAGAATGAAGATGCCAGCTCGTCGACAAGGCACATTTGAGCGTAAAACTTATTCATGTGATAATAAGGCCTTTTCAAACACAAGCTGTGGTTATCATTAAGACTTTAAGAGAGGCTGTATGGCCCTTACAGATCAGCCTACAGATCATCACTGTACTGTGTCTCCAGAACGTCAACCTAGCCATAAGCTAGCAGGTGATTTTTAGCTATGAGACGATGCATTTTACAGATAATCAAATAGGTTTTCATCAACCCTTAACAGAACACCTGATTATTCAGTTTATGTTTTTACGTTTTTTTACTGGACAGCATCAATATATTCCTCCAATGTTTGCTAAAGACTCCGAATAGACGTATCTTTTCATGTATATTCTTATAAAGATAAGACCTCAGCAAAGGGGAATTTCATAAATTCTGAGGACTTTCAAAATAAACAGACAACATTATGGAAGAAATAATCAGGCACTGAACAAGAGTCCCTTCTTTCAACCCCTCTTTGAAGAAATAAATTCAGATATGACTGGAGCACGAGAGGAAATGTCACTATTGGCTAACCAATGACATTATTTACAACTAAAGGATGAGGATGAGTGAAGGGAGGGAGTATTTGCTGGTATTCAGACCATTGAAATGAATACTGACGGACTGACGGATCATATCTCTCTACCATGTACATGCATACACTATGAATAAATGATTACATTATTGCACATTCAGTAGCACTGCAAGCTTTATCAGAATGAAACCGGTTATCGTTTCTGTTGGCTCAGGTAGCAAGCAGTCTTCCTTTAAAATGTTAACGGACTCTGGTCTGAATTCCAGTAAATACAAGTTTAAGTCAAAGCAGCTCAGGCTGTGCCTCAACAACGTTAGCTGAAGACTGACCTTAAGACCTTTCACCATCACATTAGAAACGGGAAGACATGTAAAAAGCCTTTACATAAAATAATTCACTTCCTTGTACCTGCCAGACACAAACTTCACTTCATGTGTATGAGTCGAACTAGTTCGTGAAACCTACATGGATCCAGTTGAGCCTGAAAGTTCATTTTTGACCTCTGAAATTATTTGACAATAAAGTCTAAACTTAACTGGAGCTTTCAACCGTATCTTAAAAAAAACAGCGTCTTCTAAAGAAGATTGTGAGGCAGTTAAAAGCTCCATAAAAAGCTAGTAAGTGGACCTTAGGTTAACATCTAACTGCACCATTGTGTTTATGTCTGTTCAGTCTGCTTTGATCTCTTACTAGCTTAAAAGAAATTAACGGTTTTGACTAAATTCATTTGGGGATGTAATTCGTCCATTCTTGACACTTTCTCACCTCCATTTCCAGTCTGCCTTGACCTCTATACAACAAAAAGGTCATGGTTTTACACAAAAAAAAAAAAAGGATTGATATAATTTAAACGTTCAGAATCAGAGTGTGTGGAAGAGCAAACGGAGACAGCTTGACTTGACTTTAGAGCCCACTGCCAGGCTACAAGTAAGGTATAAAATAATGGAACTCTTTGTTTAAATAAATTAAATTAGGATGGTTCAAATAAAAACAGAATAAAATGAAATAACTGTGATAAAACATGTGACGCCTTGGACAATCAGCTAATAAAAATTCCCTCCCAGAAAATAATTTCTTTAACTGATTTTTTATCTTCTTTTCTCTTTTTTTTGCAAAAATGAAAATATAGTTTTTTTCAATGTTCTTTGCAAGTTTCCATTTAGAAAAAAAAAATGATAGTACCCACGAGTCCTCTTTGAAATATATCTACAGCTGTACAATAGGTCTTGCAAGTGAATTCATGAAAAAAAAGAAAAGAAAAATGAGTGCATTATTTTACATAAAAAAAAGCCTCTTTACAGATATGGGTTAAAAAGGGTCATATTAAACAATATAAAAAGAAGATAGAAAGACAGCGTTCGCTAATGAGATTCTTGGAGATTCGTCTTCTCTTCAATGGCCTGTTTCACTATTTCAGCCAACTTCAAGCGGTCGACTTTATCGGAGAAGGATCGTCCTGCAATGGAGAAGTTGGTGGTTAGGGACCTGGGAACTACACAAACAACTTAAAGCTACAGATGAATGAGTAAATGATTCATGCTTCTAACTGGAAAAAAATATATCAAGACTGTATTGCTTAACCAATTCACACAAACGTATCATTTGTCTTTTTCACCGTATCCGTTACCCATTAGGCTTTAACCACAGCCACTCATGATTCAAAATAGAATATATTCAACACTTGTTTACTGCTGATGTTTGGAGGAAACAATGATTAAAGCTGTACAGTCATTTACATTTTTCTATTAATCTGCTAATTATCTCAACTAATCGTTTGGTCAATAAAACATGAAAATGTTTCATTTGTTATCTCATAAAACAAAGAAAAGCTGCAGATCGTTGCATAAACAATGAATCCAATGGTTACAGCTCTACTGGCAACCCATCACTCCTCGGCCGTTCAAGATCACTTCCTGTTTGAACTGCAGTGTAATGTTTGGTGTATTTATTTCTTCATATGGACAACTGAGCTGTGTTTGTAACTGCAACAGCTTTTTTTGGCAGCCAGATGAAACACAAAGGCCAGATAATGTGTAGCATCATTACAGCTGAATAAACACTTTGTGAGGGAAAAGCATTCCAGAGCTAATGTCAGATGAAAACTACCGGTAAATTCTAACAGCGTTTTTACAGATGTCAAAACAGCTACTTTGCTTTTAATTGTTTAACCGATACAAAAGATTGCCGGATAGAGACGAGATGAAATGGTACCGACCGTCCCAGCTGAGCCCCTGCAGGCCGTCTCTCAGCTGTTTACAGTCTCTGTTGAACCTCCAGGCGTCATACATCACCTCGTTCAGCTTCTCATCCTCGTTTTCTCCTGGACAAACAAAAAAACAGTCACTTCAGGAGCGACTCTCTTTCTCTCTGAGCTATTTAACATATGCAAGAGAACAACATAAAAAATATCATGTCTTCTTACGTAATATATATCAATATGGACCAATACTGCAGCGTGCACCAAGCGGCTACTTGGAAAGCTACAGGAAAACATCAAGTGGGCCCGCATGAAAATCAATCCAACCAAGTCTCGAAGTAACTCTATTGTTAAGGAAATGCCTAAAGACACGAGGTTCTGTATTGGCGATGACCCAATACCAACAGTATCTGAGCAGCCTGTCAAAAGCCTGGGCAGATGGTACAATGCAAGCCTCAAGGACAAAGAGCAGGTGCAACAACTAAGGCAAGAAATTATCAACAACCTGGAGAACATCAACAAAACCGCACTGCCTGGAAAACTGAAGCTCTGGTGCCTACAATTTGGACTCCTCCCTCGGACAATGTGGCCACTCACTGTCTATGAGGTCCCAATAACAACTGTGGAGAAGATGGAGCGAACCATCACCTCGTACGTGAAAAAGTGGCTCGGTGTCCCACGATGTCTAACTAACATCAGCCTCTATGGCAAAGGGGTCCTGGAACTACCTCTCACTAGTTTGACGGAAGAATACAAGTGTTCTAAAGTCAGACTGCAGATGACGCTGAGGGATTCCAGAGGCAAGATTATCAGTAATGCTGCACTGCCCCTAGCAACTGGGCAGAAGTGGAAACCATCCAATGCTGTGCACAAGCAACATCAACCCTGAGGCACAAAGACATTGTGGGGCAAGTTCAGCAGGGAAGAGGAGGCCTCAGCCTGACGGCAAGTGAACCAACTTTGCGAAAGGCCACAACATCAGAACGGAGAAAATTGGTGGTCGAGGAGGTGCGCCGACAGGAGGAGGTCGCAAGAAGTCTCTCTCGTGAAACAGGGACAATGGATGCGGTGGGAAGGTGTGGAGAGGAGAAAGATCAGCTGGAGGGAACTATGGGAAATGCAGCAGAAGCAAAGCAGCGTGGCTGGAACACAAAAACTGTCCAGTGGAAGTGGGATGCAGAGGATTTGTGGCTTCTTCAACCATCAGACTGTTGAAAGAGCTGGGAAGCCACAGTCAGGCTCTGTGGCAGACCATGAAGGCAATCTCAGAGGCAGCCAGTGGATTTGGATCAAGCGGAATGACCCATGCTGGGCTCCAAATATGTCAGCATAACCCACTTGAGAATCCCCACCTGTTAACCATTCAAGCGTCTACAATTCTCAATGTTGTCAAGTTTGAGACAGTTGGGCACGGCACACAAGCTGAGGGCTGATCATCCTGCAGCTGGCTGCCCTTGGGGAGGGTGTATAGTGTTGAAAGGCCGAAACACTCAATGACACAAGGGAACATTACTGATGATGTGTTCTGGGCCCAACTGTCCCAAAATTCTACAACCTAAACCAAACCAAGATACACCCCACACAAGATGGAAACCCCCACTTGTCGATCGTCAACCACTCAAAACAAGGTTAATTTCCCAGAAGTGCTCACCACCTTGGCACAAAGGACAGACAAACATCATGTCCTGTGTTTTTTTGTGTTTTTTGATTCTTCTATATAGCTAATATTATGGCTGGGCAATATTTAGATATTTTATCAATTTCGTGATACGAGACGAGATATCGTCATAGATTTTGGAACATCCTAATATGACATAAGTGTCGTCTTTTCCTAGTTTTAAAGGCTGCATTACAGAAAAGTGATGTAATTTTCTGAACTTACCAGACTGTTCTAGCTGTTTTATTATTTGCCTCTATCCACTTAGTCATTATGTCATCATTACTGATGATTATTTTACAATTTAAATGTGCAACTATTCTGTAAAAGCACCAAAGGTCAACAATACTATATTGTTACAGTATTGATATTGAGGTATTTGGTAAAACAATATCAGGACATTTAATTTGCTCAACTCCATATTGCCCAGCCGTAATTATTATAGCTTAATTACAAGTCAATGTTTATATATATATTATACCTGCTATAACGTAGGTGAGTTTGTCAGTATTTTGTGTGTCTTATATAGCAGAAGTTAAGTTATAGCCAATCTTTGCAAAATACTTCTTAGTTGAATACAAATGACAAAAATGTAGATATGGCGTCTGTGGTGTAATGTATTGCAGCTAATAATACCAGTATATACAATATATGCACAAAGTATGTATTCAGCAACACGCTAGTGGCATGTTTTGTTTCGGTCTAGTTCAGTAACATTTCGACATTAGCGTGTGTTTACTGACCAGCTTGTGGTAGTATACACTGTGCAATGACATCTCGTAACTTTTCCAGCGCGACGTTGGAGTCTTCTCCTCCGTTCTCCGGGTCGTGAATGAAGAAACCGTCACTGGGCTTTGGGCTGCAACATGGACACCGAAACACATTTCAATCTTTGACCCAATTAGGAGAAAAGTTAGTGAAGAGAATGAGATTTTGGATTTACATTTAGCACTTACTACAGGAAGGCAGATAGAAACATTATTAAAACATTCTCACCCTCACCTAGCTACTGTATCTCATCAGTGCAATCATCATTTTAAGTGGGATGTCTTTGTGACTTCAAACAGAAATAAACTATATTATATTACTAAGCTTTTTAAAACACAAGATGAGAAAACGTGACACAAAACCCTCAACAAAAGCAATCGTACCCGAGTAGTTTCCGCTTCCTGAGGATTGGGTTGTTGACAGAGTTTAAAGGCTTCAGGCTGACGTTCAGATCCTGAATTCTCATGTTGGCCAGCTGCTCCGCATGGGCCTGCTGGATACCAGCAACTACCGCCTGGAAGGTGAGAGGACAGACGGTGAGCAAAGAAAGAAGAGGACCCTAGTACTCTGACTTTCAACCGTGGCCCCCCAGCTGCTGTCAATTCATTCAGGAACGGCAGCATGACTGTGCAACATTTGGCAAGATTTTGCACCTTTAACTTCCCACTCACCTTGTCCATCATCATCTGGGCGGAGGGCAGCACGTTGTCGAGGGCCTCGGTGCAGTTGAGCCACGGGTGAGCCAAGACTCCCTCGATGGTCAGCCTCTCCTCTGGCTTCACCTTCAGCAGCCTGCAGGGGGCGCACGAGGCCGGGAGGCAGAACACATTATCAGACGGAAGAAGGACGGATGACGGATGGTGTGAAAAAGGAAACGCTTTGTTCCACAGCAAGATGAGATAAGCACACAGGGAGCAGGGACAAAGAAGATGACTCACTTGCGTACGATGTCCTTGGCCATTTCAGAGATCTGGCTCCACTCATCTTCAGGGAAGTCAAAGCTGCCCGTCATAATCTTCTTCCTCATGTCCTTTGGGATGGTGCGACTGTGGTGCTTGGAGTAGAACGGAGGGTAGCCGCACAGCATCACGTAGATGATCACACCGAGAGACCACAAGTCGCAGCTCTGGAGAACGAGCGAGAAGAGAAAGAGACGCATGTATTTCAAGTGTAACTTCACCTCCAGATCTGAGCCTAGGTGGGCAAGGTGGGTAAGGGGCGAGATATGAAACCACGCCCACTTCCGTAGTCAAAATCCTCGACGTAGTCTCAAAGAAACGGCGTGGGGCACTGAATTTGATGGATTTGCTGTTTATCAGACCACAAGTGACAGACAAGGATCACTCCCCGCTGGGTTGGACTACTTCTCCGAGAGCAGGCGCCAGCTTCGAAGACGGACGCGGCTGTAGCAACTCCAATTCAAACAGTGCAAAACCTAGCGCCTCTTTCTCTAGCGCTGGCAGCTGTAGTCTCTTAGCGGCAGGGGAGCAGGGACCCAGCGCTGCCGCCCGTAGATTAGTCCCAAACAGTCGACTCTTTCTCAGAATTGGCCTTGTAAGATTAGGATTGATTCAAAACAATACTTGCCAAAGTAGGTCGAAATGCAAAGTTCAACTGGTTTGGGTCTCACCTTGTTATAGGTATAAGGAGTAGGTGAAGTGGGTATAATTCCGGACTTTTCTTTTTGGTGTCTTCTTTGAGCCTCAAGTACCTGAAGAGAAATAACAACAGAAGGGATACATTGTGGACTTTGCATTTAAGACGTCCCTATCTGTGTGAGTACATTTGGTATCGTTGGATGACTTCTAGACGCTTTTTACCTGCGGTGCTACGTAGTAGGGAGTGAACTGAGGGGTCATCAAGTCTCCTTGATCAATTTTGGCAAAGCCAAAGTCACACAACTTCACAGGTGCATCCTGTGGAAAAAACAGAATCCCGGAGTGCGAAGGATGAACATGGAGCGAGCGCAGAAACAGATTTCTGGCTATAGTTTCACTTGATTTTTTTTTTTTTTGATTAATACATTCAGGTTCCAGGGAGATCATTGGAGGGTTGATTTTGTAGTTTAGGGCTGAAAATGCAGGTTGGATATTCCAAAAAGCTGCACATTATCTGCCACATTTAGAAATTGTTCCTCATTATAGGGTCTCGAAAAGTAAAGCTGCTGCCTTACAGTCCAGCAAAGTTTATTTTCCTTTGTAGCGAAAGCACCAGTTGTGGTGAATTTGAAGTATTTATGTCGGCAACTTACCAGAGAGTTATCCTTAAAGAGCAGGTTCTCTGGCTTCAGGTCGCGATGTGCAATATTTAGGGAGTGACAATGTTCCAAGGCTTGACTGATCTACAGGGGGAAGAGACATCAGATTGAGACACCACTCTGTCTGGGGTGGTGTGTGTGTGTGTGTGTGTGTGTGTGTGTGTGTCAAAGCAACTTTTAAAGACACTTGATTTGAGCTGGTTTGTGTTGCTTCTTTTGACCATAAATCTCACAGTTCAACTACTTCATGTGCGGCTTTATCCAAGCAGGGGGGGGCTACTAATGACATGTGGAGGCTGTTACATACAGAGGAAAAGTGTTTCTCACAAACAAACACGCCGACAGAACGGACCGACCAACCAACCAAGATTAAATATCGAGAACATTCAGAGAACCGATAAAAAAAAACTAAAAAAAAACAACGTCTGTGTGTCTTCACTAACCTGTTTAGTGACCTGACTGGCCATCTTTTCAGTAAAGTGCCTGTGCTGACTGATTCTGTGGAACAGCTCGCCACCCTCCATCATTTCCATGACAATTAGGAGCCGCGCTCTGTAAGAAACAAGTGAGGAGGTGTGGATGTGTCAGGGGAAAGAGCAAAAGAGACGAGATCGAGATGGATGGATCTCTCTCTCTCTCTCTCTCTCTCTCTCTCTCTCTCTCTCT